TATACTGAAGTCCTCTTTTGCTTAAGGCCAAGTATTTGTGCTCAGTTGATAACTTGATTTTTAAGACAGATAAGCAAGAAACCAAGCTCAGTATTTCAACAGTTCAGGATTCCACTCTGACAAAAATCTCTCATAACCCAGTATCTTTAGTATGACTCATATTTTTAGTATTGCATCTCCTATCCTAAACTAACTTTTGTAATGAAATAGAATCATTGTCATTTTCCCATAGATCTCTTCAAAACAGTCATTAATTTAATGGATTAAATTATGACTGCTTTATTCATTCATAATAAAAAACACAAAGTAAAACCATCTTTCTATCTTAGCTTCATACAATCAGCTGCTTCTTTTCCTTGCATCTCTCTCATCACAAAATAGGAGAAAAATGCCAAAATTCCTTAAGTGGAACTGTAAAACCAGATTATAAATAGAATCAAATAATTATTCCAATTTATTTGTATGTTCATTTTGATAGAGCAATCAAGTTTTAAGATAACATCATGCTTGCAAAGACATTGAAGCAGTAGCCCAAAGCAGAGTGCCAAACACTGGTCAGCAGGCAGCCTTAGCCCCCAGGACAGTTCTTGCAGTGCACAGCTGACTCCCAGGGGTTTGTGTGGCTTTTACTGGAGTCATGCAAGGCCATGATGGTGATGAATTATTCTAACAGGAGCAACACAATCCTGGCCACCTTCCTGGGGACACTTTAGATGTAGACAAAGGACATCTGTGTAACACACTGGCACCCTGAGTGCACCACACAGGTATGCTCTATCTGATCACTGTCTGTGCCAAGACATCCAGCCTTTCCCTGCACTGTTTCACAAGTGGTTGTACAGCTCACCTGTCTAGAGAAGCTGATACAGAAGACTGCTCCAGATAGTCAAGTGCCAACTCAAATCAAGATTTTCAGATAAGAAGAATTTATCCCAGATACTGGCACTGACAATACAACCCTGATTTGCTGCCATGTGAGCCGTTCAAGTTTGCAGTTCTGAAGGATTAACAGTAACACTGCCAGCACTGGTGAGGAAATCATCAGCACAAGGCTGACATGAAAACCATGTAACCCTTGAACAGAACAGCTTCTTGAACTGTGGGCTACTAGTCTTAGAGAAGCCTTTCTCAGCAAGTTCATGTGCAAAGTGAAGTCTCTTGAGGACTGGGACATTGAAGAGTCTCACAGTGTAAAATGAGATGCCAGGCTTTGGAGAACACAGTGGTAAGATAACTCATCATCCTGCTCTGGAAACTACAGGTTTCAGAACTGAAGTAGATCATACTGAAACTCCACCTCTTGTGTCTGACTGACATATGGATGTCCCAGCTGCTACAAGGTCACCAAAAATGAGGGCAGGCAAAAGCAGGAAGAAAAAAAGCTATATCCATTTATTTACAGCACTTGAAGGGCGAGGATGTCCAGCTGCTTGAATTCAACTTTCAAGTGACTACTGCAGGCAAGTGAGGATATTTAGGGAGTGAAGCAAACAGGGGCACTGAATCTTAAGCCAGATGTTTGCTTGGCTCACGACTGTAGGGGCAACTTGTTTAAACTGTAGTCATTAACAAAGATGTTTACAAATTCATTGGAAGTGGTCAAGAGAATGACCAAATTAAACAGTAGCCCTAATGACATCAAAAGGACAAATGCTCTTTCCTTACACCCGCTGCTGTGTGTCACACTTTTTATTCTTACTACTTTCATACTAATGATGCTTTTTCTCTTGCTACTACCACTGCATACTTCAAATCAGTGAACAATTCAGGTTGGAAGGGATCCCAGGAGTTAGCTACTTCAGTCTCCTGCTCCAAGCACAGTCAACAGTGAATACTTAAAAATTATTTCTGAAAAGAAGAACTAACACAAAATACAATAAAGACCATACAAGGAAGCTGTGATAAATTTTACCAAGAATCCTGTGAGCATTCAAGAACTATGACAAAAACTGAACCACAAAAATGCAGATTGATGCTGCATTTTCAAAAATATTTTGATTCTCTCATACTCAATTTAAAAAAAATAGAAATCCTATTAATAGGAGGTTGCTGTTAACTATTCTCTCTGAACCATGCCTTGATACAGAAACAAAGAAAAAAATGTAATTTTCTGCTACATCCATCTACAAAATTAATGAAACATAGTACAAAAAGAAGTCATAGAAGCTAAAGAGTGAAGTTGCAAAGCACAGTTATGACTATGAACATTTAGAGGCCCTAACACAATCTACTGTCATTTCATTATCACACATGGCCTGAATTTAGTTGAATTTGCTAGTCCAGCAACTGCCAGAGAGTCTCCCCAGCAGCACAACGTGTCTGTGACACCCTCCCAGTTCACCTGGCACATAACTGTGCTGCAGCCACGGCTGTCACTGACAGAAAAACAAGAAGTCTTCATTTCACATTTCCAACAGAATCCAACAAAGGGAGATTTTACACAAACGAGTTTGACTTGGACACTATTTGATAAATGCAAGTTCTCATAGCTACAACTGGTTTGTTCTCACAGTATTGAGAACATACTGGTTTTAGTATATTTCTTAGGTTCAAAAATGTAAATAATAAGCTTTTCCCATAAAATCAAATTATAGTTTCAGAATTATATTTGGAATTTTGAGCACAAGTTATATTGGTGGCAAACATCAGTCAGCTTTCTTCCTAACATGCAATTTCCAATCAAAAGAAAGCATGTGTAAACCAGTTTTAAAGTAAGCTATTAGGAATGCAGGTCTCAGGAGTTTCCCAGTTTTAGAAAGTGAACATCTTATTCCATAAATGGCTTCTGAGAGTGCTCCTTCTGTGCTCTAAACATAAGTGACAGGAATTTTATTCAAATTACTAGAAACATTAAGTTAGTGTGCATGAAAGGAAACACTATCACACACTGCAGCCACACAACAGAATTAGTCCTGGGGAATTTTTATATGCCATGCTGCTACTACACATTTATCCTGATCTAGAATGGCTTTGAATTACTAAGGAATTATGACTCGAGCAAAACCTCACCAAGAGAAAGTTCCAAGAAGAAAAGCACTACTAGAACTTGACTTTAGCACACTGAAATTCCTCAAGTGACACCCAACTTTTTTGATTTCTTAAGGTTTAGATTTGTCAAGGCTAATTGAGGTTCTTCTCACTACAAACTATATAATGAAGAATGAGTGTCACAGAGCACCTAATTCCCTATGGGAACAAAAGCAAACTGGGTAGCTGAAAAGTAACCTATTCAGCACCACTGTCTAATCACATGTTGTTCTGACTTATTCCCAGAGCAAGCTCCACCTAGTTCTTCCAGCCAGGAAAGTAGTTGTCACCTCATACAAACATCTGCAAGGAGAAGAGTGTCAATTACCTCCTGGAACCAAGCAAGCAGACCCGGAGTACCTAGCAAGTACAGTATTCCAGTCAGGAAAGAAACAGAATTTTTTAACAGCAGGTTTTTGTCTGCCTAATCTTAGGGGTATTGAAGCTACTTAGAGAAACTCAAAATCCGAAACCTTAAAGAAGATGCAGCAATCAAGGTAAATTCAAACCAGGCAGATGACAGCACGAGGTAGGAAAGGTACTCAGCAATGAAGACACAAAGCAAAGCTACCCCGACCACCCCAGATGATCAGACAGTTTTCAAGCCATCCCTAACTTCAGGAAAGAAGAAGCTCATCACAGGTTACTGAAGTAGCAAAAGAGTGAAGAAAAGGAGAGTGAAGAAATAATGAGTAGGTGAGGAGATGTAGTTTGAATTCCTACAAAAAAAAAAATTAACTATAGAATCCTTAGATGAAACCTTAAAAAAGCAGCCAAGGGGAAAAAAAATCAAAATTATTCTAGTAATATTCAAAACACTAAAAATCTTTCAGTATTGATTACATAGCTAAAAACCCCAAACTTCTGATTCAGATTGCAATACCTAAAAAATACAAGAATGGATTTTGAAGATTAGTCAAAGGTGCACCTCGTGTTCATCACAGCCCCAAGCTACCCAGTCTACGTCTACATCTGTGAACTTTAAAATATACCTTTATTCTAAATGGAATTCAAGTCTGCCATGGCTCCTCTGAAGTTTATTTTATGGCACTTAGACACTACTTGCCTGCACAGTACATGAGCTACAGCTTCTGCTAAAAATCAGGTGAGCTGAACAGCTTAGGAGAACATATAATCTAACAAAAGGAACAGATTAATATTCTGTTACCAAAATATTAAAGTGTCATATATAAAAGTTACGGATTTTAGTTGTTACCAACCATTAACTTTAGATTCTAGGGAGATCAAGACCAATTAATATATCAAGGCAAAACACAATAAATAATATGCCACAACCAAGAGGAAATCAGGCCAACATAATGTAACAAGTAGTGTCTTTAGTGAAATTAAATTATTCAATAAATACCTGAAACACTAGTTTGTTTCATATTATACCAATAGGGATACAGAAAATTATAGGAAAAATCAGGAAGATCTCAAACTCCTTAGCTTAGAGCAGGAGTGACATTAAAACACTACCACAAAGTTAAACAGCATGTCTGATGTTTGAGGAACCTTCAGTTTGGAGCTGAAAATGAAAAAGTAGGTCTCCTTTAATTTCCCATATGCAAAGTAAATCTAGTATAAACACTGGTTGCGCACACAAAGATCCTTTGAAATTAAAAGCAGGGTAAATTTCAGGTTATTCCATTAGCCGAGGCCAGCTGGACAAAACTCCCTTCCCTACTAATCCTTTATCAGCATTATGTCAGGAAAAAAAATACTTGATATAATCTTCAAAAAGACATTTAAGATACATCTGAGGCACTGGCGGCTGAAGCAGTGCTTTTCTCCCCAGCAACACTAAATTTATTACCTCCAAAATCTTCGACAACTCCTAGAGTGTTACATGTTATGTACACGACATATGTTATGTTGATTTTATATACCGTAGGAAGAGCAGAGCTATGTGGTTTTTCCCCATCACGGGTGACCCTGGGCGAGCGAAGGTCCCGGGGAAGCGCGCCCGGGACCCGCAGGGAGCCGGAGCAGCCCGGCTGCTGCTGCCCCGGGCAGAGCCCGGCCCGCAGAGCCCCGCGGCGGCAGGCCGGGCGCCGGGCCGCTCCGCAGGAAGGACGGCACGAACTCGGCGGCGTGGACGTTGGGCACGAAGGGCTTGGCGTTGACGTTCAGCTGCCGGCTGAAGGCCGCCCCGAGCAGCTCCTGCTGCGCCTCGGCCTCCGCGGCCGGCGGGGCGCAGCCCGGGCCGGCGCCGCTGCCCGGCTCGATGTCCGCCTGGTCCCAGCAGTCGGGAGCCGAGTCGCTGCTGCTCCCGCTGCCGCTGCCGTTCGCCTCCATTTTGTGGCGGCCCCACAAGGCTCCGCGGCCCCGAAGCGTCTCCCGGGTGAGGGGGGAGCCGGCGGCGGCACCGACTCAGCACTCGCTCCGCCGATTCCGCGTGTGCTCCGCCGCCCCGACGCGAGCGCAGTGTGGCCTCTCGGGCCGCCGTACCCCCTCCCGGCAGCCTCTCCTACCGCCATCGTAGTAGTTTTTATCTCCCCCGGCCGTCCTCCTACCGCACGTCCGAGGCGCGGCGCAAGAACTACAATACCCGTCATGCCTCGCGCGAGAACCCGCGCCCCGCCTCCCGAGGACGGACGGGAAATGGAGTTGCCTGCGTTCCTTGCGCGCTCAGGAACTGCAACTCCCGGCGGCCCCCGCGCGCGCCGTGCGTCCCCGCCGGCCCCGCCCCCTTTTCCATGAGGGACGCGGAGCGCGGAGTTGGCGCGAACACCTCAGGCGGGGCGGGAACCGCCCGGGTCGGCTCCCATTGGTGTAAAATCACCCCGAACCCGTCCTGAGGTGCACAGGGACAGGACAGGGGACAGGAACCGCCCGGGCCAGCTCCCAGCGCTTCGCCCCGCACCCGCGCTGGGGAGCAGCGGCGGCTCCCGGGGGAGCTGTGGGAGCACACGCCCTCCCTCGGGGTGCCCGAGGAACGCTGCCGTACCTGTCCAGCCAAAAGGGGACAGCGTGCGTGCAAAGTTCCAGTCTGGTCATTCTGTAGGACACTTTGACTTGGCTGTTACCATGTAAAAAACCCATCCCGTTAAGCCAGAGTCAGTAGGACTTTCCAAATACTGAGGCCCTCCCTCCACTGGTGTGACCCTTAGAAGCTTCTAAAACAAAATCTCAACAAACAAACCCAAAAAAGATCGCTTGAAGTGATGTATATTTGGAGGAAACAGCGCAGAACAGAGGGGACACAAGTAGGTTTTGGTTATGGGGCTGCACGGGCTGTGGCAGCACTCTGTCCCATGAGGTACAGTGTGTTTGTAACTACACAAAGCAAAGATTTGGGAGTGTCTTGGAGTGCTGACATGCGAGGACCAAGTCATTTCAGCATTATTCATATCAGAACACTGTGGGACAGATTACAGTGTTTTTAAGGCAGGTGGTCTTAGAACTGAAAATGAAAGATGTCCGTTTGGTACAGAGTCCTGGGCAGTTTTGGTTGGAGAGCAAAAGCTTTCCTGAGGGGCATTTCTGTAACGTAATTCTGACATGAGAACCAGAGGGTTTCTGGCTGCACACCAGGAGCAACATGTGGGCCATGGACAAAAAAAACTTCTACAAATGTTAATGGAAACGTGGGCTTCCAACAGATCATAACCAGGGAAAACATTAGTGTGCAGGGTAGCACTTACAAAAGGAAAAACAAACAAATAAACAAAAAAAACCCCAAAAGAACAACAAAACCAAAGCCCCACTAACACCACAGAAAGTTCATTTTGGAAGAAAAAGTATCACTTATAATTAGAGACTAAAAACCTCTGCCTAAGTGGAAGCCTTTCCTTCAAGCACCACTGAGAGTTTAACCCAAACCCGATCTCTGGCACAGAGTTAGTCTCCAGTTTTCAGACATTGTCAGTCTCTGTTTTTCAAATTGAGTACAATTAAGGAAGAGTCTCACCTGTACTACTGTTGTAGTATTTGGAATTTTGTCAAGCTGCAAGTAAGTCCCAGCTGTGCATGGCAATCACTTTTCTGTTTAACAAAAGGCAAAGTAGTACACAGTACATTGTTTTTGTTTTCTCTCTAACCTTTGCTTGTTATGTGACATTTATTAGCCAGGAGGTGTCTGATACATTTCATATAGTATAGAAACAAGGTAGCACCACTTCAGCACTCGGGGATTACGAGTGTTGAATAATAGCTAAAACTCCAGTGGAGAGCAAGCTGCATGCATTCTGCTGACAGAGGCACTTGCTGCTGAGCAGTTTTTACTGTCACTGTGAGCATTCACAGCTCAGGTTGATAACGAGTGCCACGCTGCACTGCAAGCTTGTGTTTTGTCTGAGCCCTGACACAGCCTGCAGGCCAGGAAAGCCTTCACTGGGGCCAGCTGCTGCCTTTTCTGAGCAGTTTAGATGTACCTTGAGATGACCAGCACAAGGAACACAGAGACAGCAATTCTTGCACACATTTTGGCATTCCTTAAAAAATCTTCTTGAAGGTTTCTGAAATGGGCCTTCTTTCTGATGGCTCCTAAAGCACTGAGTTGTGATAATTTTTTTGTGTTTGTGTAAGGGGAGTAGGGCCAAATATGCCTTTGATCAGAGGTACAGAAGTGTATAATATCACTGATTTCAGGGGAAAATAATTACTTCTGTTTCACAACCTTTCTTCCTTCCTTGACATGTACTTGTTCCCTAGGTACTTGCTAGGATATAAACAATTAGTCCACAGAATTTCAAGATGCCAGATGTCCTTCAGAGTGCACAAACCTGTTTTGCAGGCTGTCACACATAGGAATTGTGTAAACTCAAACACTAAATTTTTAACAGGGCTAGTAGTTTGTTTTTCCACTTCGGAACAGCTGGTACTCAAAACAAAAGTGGAATTATGATAATTTTACTGGCAAAATATCCACTGGAGTGTAAATGGTCCTGTTTGCTTGAGGTTTTAAAGCGTTATTGAAGCTTTTCTTGTTTAAATCTCTTTTGTATCAAAATGTTTAGAATAAATATACCAGCTCTTCATTTAATAAATGCTAAAATGCTTTTCTCATTGAGACCCACCCATACAAATCCATTCTCATGTCATTAATCACTTCAGAGATCAAGACTGCTTAGAAAAGAAGAGTCTGGCCCAGCTTCGGGTTAACTTATGATGACTGAGGGGCAAAGAAATTGTCCCCCCCACAACTGCAGTTCTACCATCCTTGTGCTGCCTCTGAGCTCTTAGACCCTGTGCTGAGTCTGTCCAGCTCATTGAATTTAGTGACAGAATCATCCATTTTCTTTTTCCTCCTGTGATACTCAGATGAATCAAATAAGAGGCATTTGACAAATTCCAGGGCTGGTATAAAGCAAGAATGGGAAACAGGACTTATTTTTTGGTGAGAGCAAGTTTTTAATACAATAAACCAGCCCAAGGCAGCTTCACCACTAATTTGCAGTCTGTGGTGAGCCAGTCCTGTAGCAGTGAAGAGGAGGGCTCTGCTCACATGGTGTTAGAAACAGTGGTCTGTGCTTTGGTAGTAACTTCCACCCAAGCTCCCACAAGCACTTTGCAGCCTGCCAGGGACACTTATGAAATACCAATGCTTTAGCCATGTGAACTGAAGCAGAAGAGAAAGATGGCTTTCACTAGAAGCTCCAAACAGGTTGACAGCTTCAAGAAGTTACTTGCTCACCACCAACAGGTAAATTTTTAAAATTCCATAAACTACCAACAGCCTTAAAATGGAAAGAGAGTTGTTTTAGGGTGCTGAGTTATGACTGAATTGACTCAGCCTACCTTGACATCAAGTAACTTCCTGAGCTACTGCAACATGGGAAGAAACATTTTGGCTGAGACTGGGAGGAGCAGGAAAGGAATACAACTTCCCTTTCTGGTGTGGCAGCAGGCTGGGATTGGAGTGACACAGTGTGAGCCACACCCTGATATTTAAAGGTATTCAAATGTGTACAGTAGTTACACACCTAAATGAGTAACCTGATATTTAGAATTGCTTTGAAGGCAGAAAGAGACTTTAAAAACAAAGCCAAAGAAACAAGTTATTTACTTAGGAAAAGAAAGGACAGGAGGTAAGAGGTAAACTATTAGAAGTTTGACTAGGTGCCAGGAACTTATAAATTAATGTTCTTAAACCCTGGCAAATTCCAGGCAGTCTGTGGAGGTGTAGCTGAGACCTGGAGAATAGAAAATGCAACTATGTTTCAGCATGATGGCTTCATTAAGAACCAAGTCTCTCCTGAGCTTTACTGGTGCTCGTGGAAGTGTAAGTGAATAAAGAGGCTTTTATATTTATACAAGACCATGTCTAATCCAAATAAGACATCTTGGCCTGGAAACATCGTTTTACTGATTTACTTGTATTTAACAAATGCTCTTTCTGGCCTGTTCCTCTCCCTGTGCTGGGCATTGGCAGAACTGCAGTCCATGAATTCCCTCAATGAAATGTATTTGAAGCTATTTCATTGGAAGAATTTCAAATAAAAGTCTTTGGTTTTCCAAATGTAGCACCAGAGCATAAGCTCTGTTTCACAGTCCAATCATAGAATTAGTCCACATCTGCAAAGGAATTTAGAATTTGTCTCACATTTCATTGTGGGTTGGCAGTACTTTGGAGCTGGATTCTTCTTTTTGAGGGCTCCAATCTAGTTAAAGCTTTTCTTGATCTCTCCTTTTGGAACAATTAAACACATACTGCAGGCTTCAAAAAGGGCATAAAGTTAATTGGTGTTCCTTTAGATAGCAAAAGAAATACATCGATTGCTACACCAAAATGCCAGTTTGTAATTTTGTGTCCATCTTCTCAGCTCTCAAATACCTCACATGCTCAGTTTATTATTTTTAAATATAGTTATACGTGTCTCTCACTTCTGTGTGAATACACAACCTTTATTCTCCTTGATTGTGTATCTCTAAAAAGAAAGACTGAAAGGTATTTTTTTGCAAGTGCCATCCCTTTTTTCAGGTTACTCTAATTGGAGGCTCGGAGTTCTCAGCTCTGTGTGTGATCCATTGCTTAGTTACTCTGTATTTTTTAGATCTCAGAGATGTGTAAGGTGGGTTCTTGTTGGATCTTTGCTCATAATGCCTCTCTTTGAATGCACAGGCAGTGCAGTTCCTCCTTAGACAGAATTTCTTCTGTGGTTTCCCTACCATGAGACTCCAGCCTGAAAAATAGGAGGGCGAGAGTAGTTTAGGTAAGTAGTCTTTCTGTCAAAACTGTTGTGTGTGTGGGTTTCTTGCTATCAAAGCTCAAAAGAAACAAAGGTGTGCACATTGTGAAGAACCTGTGTGTAGTTGATAAACATATGACAGTTAAAATGTTGTAAATAGCAGAGAGATTGCTTAATGTGGAAGGAATGTGCTGAGCAAAGAACGCGCATCCAAGGAAGGGAAGAGTGAGATCACTTAAATGATGTAAACAGTGACTGAGCTAGGACTAGGAGGGTTAGAGACAGGAGGGAATCTATTCTGAAGAAAGGCAGAGATTGTGTGGTTTCAGAGATCTGAAAGTCAGGTGTAGGATTGGTGGGAGGAGGCTTCATGTCAATCAAAATACTGAAACAGCTGAAAAGAAATCTTGTGAAGCACAATCCAGATCTCTGCTTTTCTGTTCTTATGCTTTCTTTTAGATCAGCAATATTTTTATTAGAAAATTAACCATTTACTTCCTTAGAAGAAGCATGGCCAGCAGGACCAGTGCAGTCACTGCCACTGCTGAGGCCACACCTTGAGCGCTGTGTCCAGTTCTGGACCTCTCATGACAGGAAGGACATTGAGGTGCTGGATCATGTCTAGAGAAAGGAACAGAGCTGGGGAAGGGGCTGGAGCACAAGTGTGCTGAGGAATGGCTGAGTATTAACACACAGTTTATTCACAGCCTTTCTGGATGCAGGGACTCCCTGCCATGGAGAAGCTCCTGGATACTGTAATAACTCTGGGCCAGATCTGCTTTATAAATATGGTAAGAGTTTCATAACAATTAAGTTCTATATGGAAAGTTTTACATGCTGTCTGTCTCAAGGGAGGTGGAAATAGAAAACTGGTTCCATGTGGGATTTTCATGTTCTTTCTTTTCACCTTCTTAATTCTTTGGAATTCCAGTTGAGGGAGCATGTTGTCCATTAGAGATCCCTTAAGATTTTAGTTTCAGTAATGACTAAAGCAGAATGGCATTATTGTTATGAAGGAAGAATAACACCGTCATGGGATTTTTAAAGCTGCTCTTCTATGGCTAGTTAACATGTTAACATTGTTGTAGAAAATAATTACTTCTTTATGGAATTGTGAGAATGAAAAAGTGAGCTTGTTTCTAAATAGGCTTAATTACTCTAGAAGTATTCTGTGCCAGTGTTCTTATTCCAGAGACAGCAATTTGCATGGGAAATTATTCTGGAGTAGTGGTGGCTAAACAAATTACAATTTCCCTCCTGTCTTGAGAGAGAACGAGAACAGACATTGACACTGTGATGCTATACCTGAGAATTTGAAAAAAGTGAATGTCCCTTACGCAAACTTCTGATGAGTTAGAGAATTTGGCTAAAGTTGCCAGGACAAAAATTTACAAAATGTAAGTGTTTACATTAAGAAATAAATTATATTTGTATTCTGTAAAAACTATTGTACCAACATAAAAATGTCACTGGCATTCCAACAAGCATCGGCTTAATCCAAACTTGCTTGCACAATTCCTTTTTTATGCATTGTCCTTAGCAGTTACATAACTATTCTGGCACATGTGGAATGTCAGAAAAATGAAAAGGTATCTTCTTTGCCCCAAGGGTTTGCAGTCTATTAGGACTGCTTTCCTGGGCTGTGCACTTCCTCTGCTCCATAAGCTGGTTCCTAGCTAAGTCAGCTTTGAACACAGTGGGGGATACAGAAACTGTCTGTGATTTAATTGACTGTGTTTATACTATTGTTATTTTAATCACTATTTTAAGGGAACATTTTCTCTTCTGTTGTTTTGCTCTTTAATCTATTTTGGAAATACTCAATGTCGCACCAGCAACATCACTCTTTTCAAAGCTGTGGTCTAATTAAAATGTGCTGAACCAAACAGGCAAAATCCACATTGTTCTTGTTTTTGCTCTGTGTGCAAATGACATTAAACAATATTTTGTCTAAGAGCAGCATTGTTCTGTGCAGCTTGTAAAAGTTAATGAACATGATGAACCCTTTAATAGCTCCATTCTTTTATTTACTAGCAGTGTGTGCCCCATTCCTAGAACAGCTTATCTCCTCCCAGCCATACAGTCAAAGCATGCACTTCACACAACATGGATTTCTGAAAATAACTGTTTCAGAAAGTTTTAACACTGTTTTAGGAGATGACTGTCTGTAAGGCTGCTGTTCCTTGAACTGCAATAACTTTTGGGAAGAAAATGTGGTGTTTTTTGGTATGTACATTGTTCTTGCAGATTTTTAGGATTGTTGAGGTGAGGTGATTTATAAGAGACTTTTTTGGGGGGGATTTATTCTGTAAATAGCTTTAGAGAATTGGAGAGGATCAGAGCAAGCCTGTAGTATAAGATTTGACAGTGTAGGTCAGTTGCCTTAGTGAGTGGGAAAAAAAGAGATGTGCCAGCACAAAACCATCAATGTAGAAGCAACTATACAACCAGAAGAATTCCTTTGTCAGCCTAGCTAATGCTGTTTGTGAAGGGAATGTTATAGTCCTAGCAGAAAACCCTCTTTCTCTTGGTAAGTGCTATGTAATTATGCCAGCAGAATTTCTGAAGTACAGTCAGGCAAAAAAGTTGGCACAAGCTTCAACAGAGAAACCCTGAAGCAGTGCCAGAACAAAACTTTGTTGTTTAAATTATGTGTGGTAAACAGATCTCAAGTTATTGTTCTGTGACAGATGAATTTTAGTCCTTAATCATTGACATGATGATATTACTTTGATTTTCCATCCAGAGTCCTCATTTTATTATTTTGGCTTAGACACTCACAACAACTTTTTTCAAATTAAAAAGTGAAAGATAAAATTTTTCTTATCTTTTCCAGGTTACTGATTTCTGTTATGTAATATCAATTTAACATGCCACAAATAAGAACTGATGAGGATTTCTGGAAGTCTTCAGTTTCTCCAGATGTTTAATGAAACCAACAGTCAAGTTGGGTTCATGGCAGGAAACACTCTGGCTGGATGTTCTGTGCTTGGTGTGCCCATTTTCTGCCAGAGCAATGTGGAACTGGAGGTGTTCTGCTCCCATGGGAGAAGGCTGTAGGTCTGAAACATTTGTGTGTGTCTGTGTACAACTCCAAAGCACCAGCTCCTGCTCTGTGCTGGGCTGTGTCCCCTTCACCTGTACTCCCTTCACCAGTAAAAATTATTTGATTTCTTGAAATCCCGTTCAGCAATTTGATACCTTACTAGAACTGTCAGTGCTAAAACCACTCTTCTAAACAACAAACAGAAAATATAGCTCATACTGGTCTTTATAAATTGTCTCCAGGTGTCACTCCTGAGTCACACAGATACCTTTTAGAAACAAATCTGAGAATTGGTTTTCCTTTTCTCTTTTTTCTTCCTGTTGTTTCTGCAGTTGATAGTTCTCTTCTTGCATTTTTTCCCATTGCTGTCTGTAAGGATGCCAACTCCAGCAGGCCAGCTTAACCTGTCTGAATTATTCTTAGAGGATATCTTGGGGAGTTTTTGAATTTCAGTTACAGTAATGTAACTGCAGAAATACTTCCCTGGCAATACTTGTGATATATGGTTAAATTATTATTGTAGTTAATAAATCCTTTCTTATTTTGTCCAACTCTGCTAATTTCTGCCATCCTTTTGAAGCAAAATCAAATTAAAAAAGCGAGCATTTATTAGCATAACATGTAATTGTTTGGAAAGCCAGTGCAAGCTCCTTAAATCCCATAACTGAACAAGAGCTGAAATGTAACTTTACTCTTAAGTAAGGTATATTTTTATGATTCCCTAAAGGTAAATAACACTGTAGGAGAACCATCATCCCATACCATCATCCCATTTTTTTGTGTGTTTGCATGGTCTACATATAACAAATCAGTGTTCTGCTTAGAGGATTTAATGTGTATTATACAAGGCAATGGAACAATTATTAACATAACATAGCTACAGTTTCTAAGTAACAATAGCCTTAATGTCACTTAATGAATTTATTCTTAATGCTTCTGGCTTTTGTTTCATTCATTGGCTGAATCCAATATTTTACTTTATAAACAGCATTTCAATTCAGGTATAAAGATTGTCATATTAAAGCCAGTTGGTATAGCACATTTCTCCCAAAAAAGTGCTTAAAGGGTTGTTTGTTTGGGCTTTTTAAAATATTAGCTCCCTGCTATCAAAATTACTCAAAAATGAAGGTTGCACAAGAACCTTGTTAAGCTAGAAAATGTCTTTCTTACTCCTGGACATAGATTTTGTAATAATGTGTGCTTTAGATGTGTAGTGAGATCTGTCAGTGGGATCTATTGCTTATCAAGATCGATTCATTACATGCTTGCTTTCATGCCCTTGAGGAGAGGAACTTCTGAATGTTAGCATGTGCAGAAAACAAAGGCAGCAGGCCATGACAACCACAATTCCTCATGGTTTTTTGAACCATTTGTTGCCTGTGTTTTGTCATTGCATACATCACTGGCACTGTGTACAGCCAAGGGAAAAAGGCTGGGACTTGAATGGTGGCTGCTTAAAGGGATGACACAGAAGAGACCCTTTGCTGTTATTGCTCCCCAGTTTCCAATGTGTGAAAAATGCATTGCTTAATTATCAAGGATTTGTGGTTTGGGGCACATCTGTCAAAAAATTAGCTTATCCTTCAAGGCTGTAAGCTTTGGGAAATAGTAGTCCAACTGTAGAAGGAGAATTATTGCTGTAAGAGACAGCATCATTCTCCAGAGCTCTGATGAATGAGCTGTATTATGCCTTTTACTTGGGGGAAGTTTCCTAGAGTTTGACTGAAAAGATGAGACTACTTTGTATTTACTTTGTGTCTTATGAGAAATATGTTTGAACTCTAACCAGCCATATAGGAAAAATTTCTGGCCAACTGAGAGAGAAAGCATTTTTGCCACAATATCTTATATACAATCTCAAATAATTAGGCATAAATTAATTTCTACTGTACTTAGAGTTTGACAGGACTTTTCAAATGAAGACATTGGTCTTAAGCATTAGTTTACCAAATGGATTTCTCTGGTGGACTTAGTTGCATGTTGCCAGTAGGTGATCAGCTGTTTATATATATAAATTTTTTTTTTTCTGTGTTGTTTCTGGCCTTTTTTCCAGGGCCTAGGATGTAAAACTCCATGAACTGACTGGATTAATGAATTAAAGCTGTTTGCCTTGTGGTCAGGTAAGCCCTCCAGCCCTTCCTCACATTTCAGAGTACATAGAATGAAGAGCAGGACTATCCCTTTCACTAACACCAAAACATTTAATCACCTTATCTGTATATAATCTAACCACATCTTTGGTGGCCTCCAGACATAGACACATTTTGTTATTTCTTTCCTTGCTTTTAGATCAACATTTCTCTTGCAAAGTCCCTTTACGGTTTTTATGAATAATACCAATATCACACTGAGTAGATATCAGGATATATCACAGCAACACGTAGAGCAGGAGTGCATAACAAAGTCCAGCAAAGACACATGTAAGGTGTTGCACCCCTGGAAAAGTAATCCAGGAGTGCAGCAAAGGCTGAGATCTTTCACAGAAGTCAGTGGATAAAAGCTTAAAGAATTGGATCAGCTTGTGTCTGTTCTGAAAGGCAGAACCGGTTTTATGACTTCAGCACCAGCACTGACTTCCTAGAGAAATTTTTGGCATAACCAACAGTCTCCACCCTTATTTTCTTCTGTCACATCTGAATCAGATTTCATCAATTCCTATTTATCCACTAATCTTGAAGAGGGAGAGAGCCTGTGATAGAAAGCCTTGAGCTGTGCACCTGGCCCATAGAAACAAGTGCAGAAGCCACAATAACTGTTTCCATCTGCTAGAGACCAGAATACAGATCTGTTAGGCTGCTCCACTAAAAACAGTTTGTGTATTCCCACATGGTGCATTTTGTGGGAAAATAAGGCTCATAGTAATGTGGTTTGAAATTACAACTCCTTATACAATGTTTTCCTTTTATATTTCTGTAGCAAAAAAGGCAATTAACTTAAATATGATAAAGAGAGAGATTCTGTAATTCTGATCTGTCTGTGGCAGTGATACTGGATAGAGGCAGTTATTGCTACTTGCTAGAAATTATTAGTTAACTTTGTATTTAAAATAAATTTTATTAGAAGAATACATCAAAATACACGTTAGCTGTGTAAACTTCTTTGATTGTGACAGTCTGTAGTCAAAGCTTTTTATTTTTCCTGTGAGGAAACCAAATACATTTCCAGAAATGTTACATTCACTCTATATACATCTACCTGGGAAGAAGACATCCTACAAACTTCCTTTTCCATGCTGGGTACTGCAGTATTAGCCCAATGCCAGTTCTGTATTGTGAAAAAATAAGTGAAAAATGCAGATAATGTTTTGAATCAAAATTGTAAAATATTAATATAGCACTTATTTAATGATTAGAATGTAATATTATTAAATTTTTCATAGAAATATGGTTATAAGCAAAAAAAAGTAAAACTTAAAACTCCCAAAATGAACAAAGCAAAAATGCCAACCAAGCCCTAATAGATGATAAATGAGGCTAATTTGGAATTGAGAAGCAATCACCATAAAAAAATCCCCAGTTTTAGAGACAAGAACAATTATGATGAACTCCTGTTACGAGATCTTTCTTCTCTACAGCTTGTATTACTTAGCACCTGCTCTAGAAACATCTATAAATAACCATTTTCTGTTTCAGACAAAATTTACATTGAAAACTATCTTGGTGCAGCTGCTCAGTTTTTCTAAAATTGTGAATTGCCAAAAAAGGAACAGTAATTCCTTGGGGAGCTCAGAGTTAAATCCTTTTCTGTAACACGATCCCATGTAGTGGAGCTGTGATGGAAGTCCATTATTACTGCTAGCTGTTCTTAGAGTCGGTCAAACTGAGAAGCCTTCTGTAGATGATCCTTGCTCTTTTACAATTTCTGTGCCTTTGTAGTTCCACAACTACTGCCCCTGATGGCACAGTGCCCCAAAAATGAATACTTTGATAATTTGCTGCTCTCTTGTACTCCTTGTCACCTCCGGTGTTCCAGTGCACCACCGCCCTCCTGTGAAAGCTACTGTGAGAAGAGTAAGTGGATTTCTGCAATTCTCTGTGGCTGGGCTGGGCATCTTCATGTTGTATCTTGCACTCAGGTTTGGTGTGTTGGACATGGTTACTGTACATGAGTTATTGTTTGTGATTAATGTAATGCATCTCTTTTATTTCATAAGGTACCGATTCAAGTGGAATTCTTTGGATTTGTTTGGGCATAGGGTTGATTTTAATATTCACTCTGTTTACCTTAATGGTCCTGTTTAAATGGAAGCACCTAAAGCAACTAAAAGAAAAACTGGAAAACACAGGTGAATAAATTCTTCATCAAATAATTTTTGATCATTGTACATTTTAACTACTCTTAACATGTAAAAACATTGTATATATTCCAGATCTCATGACTGCCTTTGTTGCATTGTTTGGTCTTTGTTGGATTGTTTGGTATTCCTCAAATAGTCTCCATGAAATTATCATAGTTATTAAGGAAAAAATATCCAGATATGGACTTGCAAAAGCAGCAATTTCTCTTTGTTGGTTCTGGATCCCATGAGGATTTTGTTGTTGTATATTCATACCTGGCTTACTTGCTGTTGTTTGAGAAATCATTTATGAAAACTTAAAAGGAAAAGACTTTATAAGGGTTTCACCCTCACTGAATGCAAAAGGAATTGTTCCCAGGCAGAGGATACACATTCAATATTAGCTTTTCATTTTATAAGACTTTAAATAATTTTATTTAATATTGTAGTCTGTGAGAAGCATGTGTGGCATATTTTGTGAAGGTGAAAAAAAGTTTTTTTTTCCACTTTACAAATACTATGTATGTGAGTTTTCTGACAATAAATAATAACTGATTAGAAAACATGTTGAATTACTTCAATGCTTATTCTGAAGTAGAGGGTTGTATTTCATAGAAAAAAGATTATCATATGTTGCTACATTTTAAAACTCTCACTATACCTTAAAATTTTCACTGAGGTTAGAACATAGTTGGACCATAATGAAATCTGGATCTTTAATAGCTCTTTGTTTAGTATAGCATGATGTATGTACTAAATTAACTTCTGTATATTTACAGACTCCTCTGTGGAGCCGAATAATATTCTCAAGGCTAATACTGAAAGCAGTGTGAATACAGAAGAAATTAGACACACACTTCCAAGTGAAACATTAATGTATTCAGTGGAAGAATGCACTTGCAGTGACTGTGGCTTGGTAAAACCTCAGACTGGCTGTGAGACTTCATTTCCATTACCAGCTACTGAAGAACGAGCTGCTGTTCTAGTTACCACCAAATCTTTTGATTATTATAACTACGTTCTGGGTGTTGGATGACTGGGAGAGGAGTGTATTTGTACTGAGTAATAATAAATGAGTTATTCCAGTATAGCTGTAAACCTTAATACTTGCAGTCACTGGAGAAGGTTGTACATCATCCAGAGAGATTTCCTATTGTGCTTGCATTAATATTGTCATATTATTTCTAATTCTAGTATTTAATTGGTCAAATATTTCTACAGTATTCTCAAGCACTCAACTAGTTATTATAATTTTTATTTCAGAAAATCTTTTCATAGGACAGCTTTTTCTGCCTTTAGAGATTGTACCTACTTACAGCAGATATATACAAAATAAACAAGTTTGCAAATATGTATGTTCATGTTAGACTCAGATCTTGTGCCAAAAATTACTTTATGGTACACAAGAACTGTTCCAAGAGGCAGAAATGAAGACCTACAGTACATCCCCAGTCTTGAAAAGAGTAATTTCAACACTTGAAATAGGAATGTTCTAAAGATGGATACCCTGTGGTGTGTGGAGGCCCCTGGGTTCAGAAGGTGTCACTGGGTCACCCTCAGGGAGGTTGTGGTGCTGGAGAGCACAGATCATAGAATCACAGAATGTCCTGAGTCAGAAGGAACCCACAAGGGTCACTGAAGTCCAGCTCCTGGCCTTCACTGCAATTCCTGCAATCCCATGTATTTCCTGGCGGTACAGGCTTTCCTTTCAGAGCCAAGTGCTTTCAGACTGAGATTTATTTCTTTTTTACTCATTATTTTTCTTACCCTTGTTATATTTACAAGGATGGGTAATTAGTCATGCTAGACTACTCTGCGGCCTAAAATTAGGAATATATTTCTGTCACCTTGCTTTCCAAGCATTAATGTTACTTTCCTAATAATAGGCCACAGTTTTATTCCTGGAAAACTGCAACAACAGAAGCAACAACCACACCAGCAACCACAACAACAATCATCTTTATTTGTAGATAACATTCTGCTTCAGGTTCCTGCATGAATGACTAGGAATTGAAGTATTTCATTGCACGAAATCTACGAATGCCCTGCTACAGCATCTTTAGGAGGCTGACACAAAGTTTGGGGCAAGTTGGGAGTCAGGTGCTCTGTGTGGTTTTGGCCACACAGGACCGAAACCTCTCAAATAGACTTATGAAATTTGTTATTATCAATTTTTTTTATTTAAAGAGCCTTTCCAAGCTTCCACCCTGCACAGCACACGCGGCAGCAGAGACGCTTTATTATCTCCGCTTTTCTCACCCTTCCTTTCGCGGTGTCGCTGCCCCGCAGGACGCCTCTGCCCGCCGGGCCCGGGCGGCTCCGGGGCCGGGCGCGCTGAGGGCGCGGGGCCGCGCTGAGGAGCCCCGAGCCGGGAAGCGCTCTGCAGCGCTCCCGGGGCCGTGTTTACCTTCCGGGGCGCCGGGCGGGTTCCGGGGCGGGCGGTGGTTGCCGGCCCGGCCGTGGCAGTGCGGGAGAGCGGCGGCTCCGGCGGACGGAGCCCCGCGGGCACCATGAGCGGTGAGTGCGGCCGGGCCGGCCCCTCCGCGCCGGGCCCGCCGGGCGCTGTGGGGGCTGCCGCGGGCAGAGTGTGCCGGGGGCCCGGGCGGGAGTGGCACCGCCTTCGTTCCCCCCGCTGCTCCCTGGTGCCTTGCTGAGGGACGGGACACTTGGGTCTCTTATCTCCTCACCCCGTTCCTCGTTCCGGCTCCCCGAGCTCCCCCGAGGTGCTGTCTTACCCCGTTTTAAATCCTGAGTCCTGCCCTTGAGCGTGACACTGGCTCACGGCACAAGTGATGCTGGGCTCGGGCATCTGTGTTGCCTCAGCTGTTGCAAACTCATAGGAAATACTCCTGAGGAAATAAATGACCAAGAGAAAATAGGAGTTAAAAAAACCTAAAAATATGAGCTCAGGAGCATGCCGTCGGTGGGAGAGGTGAGAACCACGGCTTGTGGAGAAAGGGCCCTGTTGCTGTGTCCCTGAGCGAGTCCCGGTGAGGATGTCTGGATGTGGTCATTTCTGTGGTAGAGGGCAGTGGTGCGGGGGATGTGCTGAATCTTGAGGGTAAATGTGTGCTAAATCCTGAGCTTTCTGAGGTGTTTGTCAAGGAAATACTTGGAGCTTTGCATGAGAATTATGACCCATAAACTGCAGGACTGGAGGAAGCAGATCCGCTTGAATGGGCCAGCATGGAGAGTTATTTATTAGGATAGAGGTGAAAATTCTAATAGACTTTTCTTGTAGATGTAAAGGATAAGTAGAATTATTTAATACATATTAAGCACATTGGCAAGGATTTGTTTGGAGTTTTTTGAGAAGGGAGCTGCTGTAGTAAAAACTTTGACAGGTCTCTTTGTACATCTTTGGCAATGGCAGTTGCAGACAACACTCTGCACCTGAGGATTGGATCACGCACTCATCTCCCACCCTGATCTAATACATGGGGATCTTTGTTGCCAAAGGCAGTAAGAAAAAAACTGAGGAGTTAACTGGAGTAACTAAATGCTACATGTTTTGTGGGGAGCAGACATTTCTGAAAGTGAACTGAAAATTAAAACTGCTTCACTTGTATTTTTCTGTTTTGTTCTCACCTTTATGGTAGGAACAAAATAGAAGATTTTTGTGGAAGGGATGAGGCAAAAAAAAGATTATAATGGGTAACCCGCTTGTGAAAAATGCAAGTAACAGTGAAATCTTTCAAGGCCTGGGAAAAGAAAGTTTCTCAAATGTTTCAGATATTGACACAATATAGACTAAATACTAATTACAAAATTTGTGAGAGTCATCATTTTCATATGGAATACCTCGGCCCTTCAAGTTCAAACTGGGAATAGCCTTGTTTAAATTTATGCAAATGAGAGCCTAAATCTTCCTAGGAGACTAATCTTTGAGAGCTCTATTTGGATTCTGTGACTCAAAAGGCAAGGTAACACCTCATGTGGCCTAAAGCTTCCTCGTGTGGTTATTTTTGTTACCTTTAATATTTTTTTAAGATAATGAAGAGATACATGTTTATGAGAAAAGAAACATTTAATTACTTCAAATAGAGTAATGCCTAGGGTGAAATTAACAGTAGTGGTTCAGTTGCATAGTAACCACTCATGTATAGCCCCTGCCAGGAATTCCAGGGTTTTCCCAACAATTTCAGTTAGACAGCAAGATAACAAAAAACCCCCTAATGTTGCACTTTGACAAATGTTACTGTTACACAATGCTGTACAGTATTTTTCTAGAATAATATAAGTAAAACTGATCAGAACAGAGAAATATCTGTCACTATCATGCTTGTTTCAGATAAAGGAGGTGGCTGGTGTTAACATCTCATCAATTTTAACCATATCCTTCTTTTAGTGCCTGTAACAGCACTGCCTGTACTTACTTCTATGCCCAGTTTTAGCCCTTTTAACTAACAGAGGTGTTCCTAAAATATAGATGGAAGAACGTCTTAATGGCTATAATTATGGTTAATGTTTATTTTCTTTAGCTACAGTGTCTTTCTAGTGGATGTGAAGGTAATTCCTGTTGTTGTAAGCCTCACCTTAATATTACTAATGCTGCTTACTAATTACATACTCATATTTTATTCTACAGTGCTGAGTAGGCTAAACTTTAAAGGCAGATAATACAAGGATACAAGAGTTATGTGCTTGTCAAGAATTGGGGGTGTTGTCATTTGTTTAATGACAGTTTCGAAAAACTTAAAAATACAGCTCGTGGTGGGGGGAGTAGAGCAGTAGAATCATAATAATGTAGTATAAGGTAGCATTTAAATTAGGTCTGTGATTGTTTTATTTTAAACTTGTGCTATCACAACCTGCATTAGAGCAAAAAAAAGGGATTGCAGTCTGAAATGTTGCATTAAGGACATAAATGGAAGTTATATGAGAGCAATATGAGATTTATTTATTTTACTTATATGCTGCATATGGAGAGGGCTTGATCTAGGAAGAGCTGGATGAAAATCCTGCTTTCCTTTACCTATATGCCAGTTTGCTGCTGCTGTAGGTGTGGATGTTTGTGTCAGAGCATGGAGAGAAGTTGGTTTTAAAAATAGGAAAGCATGACCTTGAACTACAAAATGAAGAGGGTCAGTACCTGAGGGTGCAGTACCTGAGCCTATTTTAAACCCTTTTTGGCTGAGTAGATGTTGGTGGGAGGAGTTTCTTGAAGTTTCTTAGGTTTTCAACCTTATACTTACGTTTTCACAATTATTTTTAGAGTCCTGTAAGAACTTCCTTTTTATTGCAATGGTCCAAATACAGCCTTTTTCTGAGTAAGGCTGTTTTTATGCATTCTGTGTTTTGTGTTTCTATCTGTAGTTTTTACTGCTATTCTGAATCAGGAGATGGGTATTTTAGTCAGTTTGTAATATACTGCTAGTCTTTAAATCAGCTGGAGTTGATCACACTTGATTGGTGCTCTTGTCTGAAAATATGTTTTTTTTTCCTGAAGACTTAGTTTAGAAAATGAAAATATGGAAGAACTAAATCCTCAATAGAGTTAGCAGAGATGTATTTTTACCTTCCACCTACTGGAAACAAAACAATCACTAAATACTATCATATTTTCTAGGCTTGTTACAAAGAAAAATACACCCTCAGTATGAAAAGAGATACAATTTAACCTTTCATTTAAAAAAAGAAAATACTTAGTGAGTATTCTATTTCTTCTACCTGTAAAATTTCTGTTAAGCAAAGGAATTTAGGATGTGCATTGAAGAGAAACCTCAGCTAAGCCCTCAGCAGACATTCCATGGCTTTATAGCCCTGTTGATGGTGAGGGTGATCTGAACTGCTTCAGGAATTATTGGTTGTCGTCTCCTGCAGTCATGACTGCTAGTAGTGCAAATTTACAAGTAAAATAAAGAGAAAATACACATTGCACTCAGTCTGTGTAAAATTAAAGTTGTTTGGTATCACATGCTTTAGTAGTTTAGAACATTAATTAGCATAGTGAACCTCTGTAGGTATTCTGTATTTATGCATTTTTTTATATTGATCACAGCTTGAAATCTTGTTGCAAACCATTTCTGTTACCAAATAGATACAAGGAGTCCAAAGAGAGGTGAATTTAAAAACTAACATGTATTGC